TTTGGAACTTTGGAAAAAACACAGAGGTAGATACATTAAACTTGCATATGTGCATGGAAAGGACAACAAGAGGGAGCAAATGTGCATGTCAATATGGACTTCACAGTCTTTCTCCCATTTGCTAGCAAACATGAAACAAGAGCTCAGCACTAATAAAGAAATGAAAATGTAGCAGCAGACAGCAAATTCAGACGAACTGTAAGCTATCAGCAAAGTTCTTTTACGTTGCCCCAGCTATCACATGAATGTGCAAAACAGAAATGTTCAGGAAGTTATTGTTACAAAGTGATTAGAACAACTTTGTAACGGAACAGCACAGGAGGTCACTTCTATAAGGGATAGTATTGTAGTCCATTGTAATGTTTATTGCACTTATCATATCAACTCCATCTTTTACTGCAATGTCCTCTACCTTTGTAACTCTGTTTCATCATTATGGTATGTCAGTTAGACAGTTTTTCATTTGCATTGTTCTTCAGTTCTGTAATACTAGTAGCATTGCATTGTTTATTGGAGTTCTTTGCTGTTTGATTGCATTGCTTCTTATATTTTGTAATCCACATTGAATATCAGTAAGAAAGACAGGCTACAAATTAAATTAGTAATAGAGACAAACACATTTTTACCTGTTTGTTGAGAATACCTTTTCCATCTGTATCGGCCAGATCCCAAATCTAAAACACAGTTAGATGAAAGCAGCATATAAAAACAGTGCCAAAGCAGTTATGTCAGAAATGTTTTTGCCCTGCAATAAAGTGCCAGAAAATATTACCAACCATGTAACCATTAGTAGATTAGCAAGAATTCTGTCAAGTACAATAGACCAGATTACATATCAACACAAGCTTTTAGTATTAGCTGAATAGCATATAACAATGTTGCAGCTCTCACGGCTCAACAATATGAATGGAGTTTAAAAAAAAGATGACATATCCTGCCTACACAAAATACATACATTCATCATACATGTCACTTTTCACTGTGCATTTTGGGCAACAAGACCATGATCCTAATGACAGTTACACCCTTCTAACTCTGCTTAGGATGGCACTGTAAGCTCCTGTCCTCTCTTTAAGAGCCAGGTTCACAGATCATGGCATAGACATCTTTTTCCAAAACCAGACAAAGGATTTCATTGTGAGTTGATATCAGCTACACTGCCATTGTAAGTGGGGGGAGGTAGGAGGCTGTTGGGTGCACATCTTCAAGTACTGGAATGTTAAATTTAACTTCTTTCGCTGCGTCTTATCTCTTCGCTGAGCTCATGACCTTGATGCCTTGCTTCTCTGGCTTTGCTGGGAATATGAGCCCATTGGTTTAGGCGCACTGCAGTTCACCCTCTGATTGGCCCGAGTCCATCAGGGGACCCCACTTTGAATCCTGTATATCTTTCCCCTTTCCCACCTGCGGAGTTAGATCTAACACTGAACGTATGCACAGATGACCTGCCTTTACTGTACTCAATAAACTTGATCCTTCTAAAGGAGCGTTGTTGAGACTGATTGCTGTGGGATTCTGACAGTTGACTCATCTGAAAACACAAGCCAGAGCTGCAATCAGCTGAAGCCACTGTTCAGTTCTGAGAGATAATAAACACACAGACCTCAACTCAACACAGAGTAAAAGGCACTTCACAGCCTATTCTGGTGGTCTTAATCATACCTAATAAGGTTGAGGTATGGCTACTAAATGTTCCCATAAATGCCCATTTTGTGATTCACTCTATTTAAAGCCTTAAACTACAATCATGACTTGTCAAGAAAATTACTACTGTAGATACCATGAAGCTTAAGGATTGTAAATACAACGATCACAGTGGAGAACTAAACTGTGGGATTTGTTTGTTTCAGATAAAATTGCTATGCAATTAATAGCTTTTGACAATCCAAAAGGTGTTAATAATTTTTTGGAAATATGGTTTGTGTTTTTTGAATATATTACCGCTTGTCAACCCCGATTATACACACTACCTCAGAAATATAGAGATTTTGTATTTTATTAATAAGTTTTGTGCTTATGGTTAACTTTTCTTTCTTGTTTATTAGAGGTTGTTGAATGATACTGTATATAACTAACGAGTAATACATGTTGTAAAAATAAAAATCAATAAAAATGCTAAAAAAACCCAAAAAGCAACATATAAAGCACTATAGGGGACAGCATTTTAGTTCTGGTACATGATTTTATCAAAGTCAAGACAGAATAACAATCTCCCCTATTGGAAAAAAAATCATACTACCTTCCCAAGAATCAAGTCTGTCAGCCCTGATTTTTTCAGAAACACAGCTGCATCAGAAGCTAAAACTCTTCCAGTGTTACCTGGATCAACCTGCCAAAAGAGAGACGGTTCGTATTCTGACATAATGAAACCTGTATATCGGAAGCCTTACAAAATAGTATATTGCAACTTATATTACTTTCTGAACCACTAGGGCTTGCTTAGCTTAAACTTGCATGTGTAACATCACCACACATTTTTTATCTGCAAGGGTTGCTTCTTTTCATAGGCGAGCTTCAAAAGTCATAAGAGACCTAGGGTGAGGAATCCCCAATACTGTAGAAATAGGATCTCTCTGAAATGTGAATACTCAAGTGTCCTGGCAGAACAGCAAGGAGATAAAAAAAATGTACCTGCTCATCTTACTGCTACCATACATATGTGCTATATATCCATACTGGGAAACACACTAGCAGCATTCGCTATTCTAGTGCTGGGGGGGGGGGGAACCACACAATAATGAAGAAGGAGGACTGATTGCCACCAAAGCACAGTATTTTCCCAGCAGCTGCTATGAGCCCTCTCACTGTTGTCTCTTGTTCAGGTCAAAAGACAAAGTATGCCATGGGACTGGCAGCCAAGAGTGCGGTGTTGCACTTTCCCTGTTAGGAGGAGAATGAGGAGCAGACAAACCATCACCTGAACATTTATTTGGTAGGTTTTCTTATCCAAACCCGATCTTATTTGTATCAACCATGTCATGCTATCTGTCTCAATCTGTGGAATGTTTATTACAATAGGCAGCCATGGACCCTTGAAGCCTTCTGCATGGTCTTTGTAACTGTCAGCCAGAAACTCCTCTCCCCTACCAATTTCCCAAAGGGACAGAAAATGGTGTGGTGATAATTTCAACTTTTTTGAACAAAGCTAAGTTGAACAAAGCTGAAGGATTAGATTCACCATGTAGGGATGGTTCTTGATGTGCTTTGTTACAATACTCAGGGGGCATCAGTTTCACCAACTTAGAGCGAGAACTGGCTACAACTATTCCTGTTCCCCTCACATGAGAATTTGGCCTCAATCATCCATACTTTGGTAACCTCCAATTTGGATCGTAACAACAATCTAGGGCTATTTATGAAGACAGCTGAAAGCTATGAGTTGGATTCTGAGGCTCTCCTTACATTAGAGGATGGTTCCTTGTGTCAGAGGAAAAAGCCACTGCCAATGGAACAAATCTGCAAGATCCAGCTCTATAGTTGATTCAAATACAGCAGCCTGTCTTGTTGCAGGGTCATACTGAGGCATCCTTTTAATCTCATTTTGTTCCAACGGCAATGGCTGCCTCTTTGCTTCTGGGTACAGTTCCAAGTATGATATTTACCCTTAAAGCTGGGAAATGCAGAGGTGTTGTATACCTATACACATACTGGTCAACATCCCATCCTTTGCTGAAGACAAGGCAGTGACACCATGAAGATATGCTGCCGTTTAGTACTATTTCATACTCCACAACTGAACCCTAGCAATTTGTTTCTGGTGTGAAGCCCTACCTTAACCAAGCCTTCATTATAGCATTAAATCAAAGTAATTTAGAAACAGTTGCTATGTCATGCCAAAAACATACTGAAATATGGAACCATTAGATTTGTTGATTTTCTTTCTTTCTTTTTACTTAAGTTTCCCACTTTCCTGTACCTTCCCCTCTCCAAAGAAGCTCCTGGACTACTTTTAGCAACCTTTAGGTACTTCACTCAGCTGGGCTAGCAGATCCACCATGTAATTAAGTTTTATTTTTGGTTTGGGAGGAGCTGGACTTCTTCCTTCTTCTCCAACTTGAAGACAACGAACTCAGTCAGTGTCTAGAAAGACATTAGGGTTTTTGGCACTATTCTGCTTGCTTTTCACCTGCTCTCTTGTTTTGTTCTAAAAGCGACTTGACTGGTTATAGCCCCTTTCACTTGTATGTTAAAAGGAATTTTGTAATTCCTTATTTTAAATTAATATATCCAATTCTCAACATGGCCAACTCTGTAACATTTAAATCTGGAGACATATTTCAACAAACCTGAAAATCATGTTTGCAAAAAAAATCTGAAATAAAGGGGAAAAAAACACAATTGGGGGCCACTCCCCCAATAATAGCAGCAGCACCTGTAACTTGAAGAAATGAATGCCCTCAGTGACTGTTCCTATGCAACTAGCACAGTACTGCCAGCCTTCCAGCCTTTGTTTCAGTCTGTAAAAGGCACGGGGAGGGGGCAGGGCCATTTTGGCCTTTGAGGGAGGACTTACTGGGGCCAGGCCTAGCAGCAACCTCTGGGTAACCGGATACCACCTAACTTGCATGACTCAAACAGGGCTGGCTGCTTGCTACTACTCAACAGCAGCCACCATACTAAAGCCAGTGTGGTATACTGGTTAGCGTTTCAGGTTTGAATCACCAGTTTGCCTTGGAAGGTCTCTAGGTGACCTTGGGCCAGTCATACATTCTAGCCTAACCTACCTCATGGGGCTTTTGTGAGGAAAAAATGGATTACAGGAGAATGAGGTAAGTTACTTTGGGTCATATGGAGAAAGGTAGGGTATAAATGAAATAAATACAGATGAAGATTGAGGGTAGGTAAAAAGCAGGCTGGTGGGTGGGTGGGAAAGTTTTGGGTTTCTCTTCTGGCATGAGGAAATAGTGGAAAAGAGATACTGGGGAAAATAAGGCACCCAATGCAAGTCCTCTCAGGTTTCCCGCTGTGAAACTGGGCCTGGCTCAGTAGCTGGCACTGCACAACTGGGACACAGTTTCCTTGAGATTGCCAGGGAGAAGGAAGGAGAGAAAGCTGAAGACACGGGGGCAGATGAAGACAGGTTACCTCCTGTGTGGGAAAGAGGGACGGAAGCAGGAACATGGACAGGTTAGGGGAGCTTTTAGGGAAGAGAATGAAAAATAGTGGGGGAAGGAGAAATAGATGTTCCCCTCTAGTCTTGCAGGTCCTTGTTTGTAAAACCCATTATCTGTTATTGTTCTTGGTCTGATCAATCGTTCTGCAGGACCACCAGCAGTCACATCTCTGACTCTGCAAACGTTACTGTTTAAAGCTATAGACCTTCCATTTCAAGGATAGATAAGATTTTCCCAAGAGGCTTCTCTGCCTTGGAATTAACTCTCTAGCATTCAGAGGTGGCTCCACTAAATAATTCACAAAAACTAGTGTTTCTGGTAAAGGAGAAAAATTGAGGGCAGATAAATGGGGTTTCACAGTTGATGACATGAGATGCTGCAACCAAGAATGCTTTCTGGCTCACTGTTCTCTATTGCATGCTGCTTTGTCAGTTTGGGGACTGGGCAAATTAGCACACTTTCAATATTGTGTACGTGAAGTGCAGGGCTAAAAAGAGCATGAAAAGAGCACTTCCATATACAAAATGTCCTACTACAGTGAAATTACGCTAACACATATACATAAAAGAATAAGCTATACACAAAACACTACCAGCCAGGAAATTTACATAGATCAGCACCTATCTTGAAACCAGTTACTGGCAAATAGTCTTGTTAGCTTCTGTAGGATTACTTACAAGTTAATTTGTATTTATTATCTTTATCTTCACAATCACTAACATTTTCCAAAGATACTCCAAAATATGCAATTATGTAATCTCTCAGGATAAATAAGTAGTTTTAAAGATGTTTCTATCAGAAATATCCCCAGAATGCAAATTCTTTAAGTTACTGTACTTTAGTTTAGTGCATGAAGCATACAGACAGCAGTCTGAATTTTTTAACGGCTGTTCAATTATCCAAATTCTGCTGCAAAAAAGCATTTATGTTCCATGAAGAGAGACCTTTGTTTGGAATAAAACTTTCCTATTAATTACTAGTGGATCTAGTTCGTGTGTGTGTGTGTGTGTGTGTGTGTGTGTGTGTGTGTATTAAGTGCAATCAACTCGCTTCCAACTTATGGGGACCCTATGAATTAATTACCTCCAAAATGCCCTATCATTAACAGCCTTGCTCAGGTCTTGCACATTGTGGGTTGTGACTTCCTTGATTGAGTCAATCCATCTCATGTTGGGTCTTCCTCTTCTCCTGATGTCTTCAACTTTTCCTAGCACTATTGTCTTTTTCCTAGCATTACTGTCTTTCTCAGTGACTCTTGTCTTCTCATAATGTGACCAAAGTGCAATAGTTGACAAAGTTTGGTCATTTTAACTTAAAGGGAGAGTATGATAGCTCCTGCTTCAACATAACTAGTATTTGAGAATATGAGTGACTTCAATCAGAAGCCAAATATTTCTGCATTTAAATATCAGGAAGACTGAAAACCACAGTCTACAGAAATACTGCCCAAACTCACATGTCTTCATAGCTTAATTGAAAGATACTCCTATTCCACCAACTCAACGAGTAAGTACCTGGTGCGTTGAATTTTCAATAAAATGACCTACAAGCAGTAATTCCTTTACGCCGAACACAGAAACTGCTAAACACCCCCAGATATATACTTTGCCTGTACCCAGAAGCAAAGAGGCAGCCACTGCCGTTGGAACAAAATGAGATATATCATTACTGGGGGCCACCACAATACTCACGACCACAGTCTTTTATTTTTAATTCTTTAAATTTTCAAAAATTGTCCAACACAGGACATATAAAGCATATGTAGTTCCACTAAATTGATAAAAGAATGCTTCAAGCTATCCGAATTGTACCAGATTTATGAAAGATATGATAGTTTATTCCAACAAGGAGTCATTATAATACAGCTTACTGTATTCTTCTTATAACGAAGTGGGTCCATTATTATCTGGCACAAGTGGGGAACAATATAAAGCAGTTACGTAGTTCTGTGACTGTCATTTGTGATCAACAGTTGCCAATTTGTATGGGTATAAATAATTATTTGTCTAAAACATGCATGGCATAAATGGAGCCCACTGTATTATAAAGCTGGTAAAATAATATCCCATGAATTAACTGTACATCAAACTGTTTATCTAAGACAAAAACACAGGGACCATTTTCTTTTCCTGTTTAACATAATGTAACATAATATACTTATAACCACAGAAAAGTATACAATTCTAGAAAGGCATAACCCAAGAGAAGTATATAATTCTAGAAAGAAATAAGAACACAGGATGTAATCACACTTACCTGTCGATAGTATTTCTCGTATACAGGATTTGCACTCGACAGCTACAGAAAAAAGTTAAAATGCAAAATAAATGCTTTCTAAAACTTCAGCTTGCACATAGCTCAGTATCATTAAAATCTTTCTTTAGCAAAACAAATTGGTTTGTTTCTCAATGTCAAAGTCTAATCCCCCCCAGATATATACTTATTACAAAAAAAACCCCTAAAAACATAAATAATTACATTTCAAGATGGAAATAGAGATTCATGTTCAGAGGATCACTGAGACAATGTCAAACAAAGTAAAAAAGTCTTCACCCAATGGTATAAGATGCAACAGAACGGGACAGACAAATCTCCCTTGGGAGAGAATTGCAGAGTTTTGGTGACACTACTGAGAAGGCCCTCTCCTGCATTGCTACCTGTCTAATCTCAGAAGGCAGGTGCACCTGAAGGCGGGCCTCCAAAGATGACTGTAGTAGTTAGGTAGGTTTATGAGGGACTATAGCTACAATGAAGAATGTTGTGGCAGACTGACAGATATATAGCGACATGAATTCTTTCTAACTGACAAGAATTCACTTCTTCAGAAGCACAGTAGAAGATCTTCTCCATAAGAAATACGCCACCATATATTTGTAAATATTTACATTCATACCCTGTTTTCAAAAGAAGAGTTTCAGAGTACACCTGATACACTAAAATAACCGATACTCTACATGTAACTGTCAGATATTTAAAAACATGAGACACAAAATTCTCCGTTATTCTCAATAAAAAGCACAGTGGCTTGTTAGACTTTTCCAGTTGTTCACCTAATGTACAAGTTAAATTACTCCACAGTACAGACAATAAAATATAAATTAGGGCCCTCCAAAGATAAACTTAATAATACAATAATATTATAAAATATCCACAGATAATAAAACAACTACACAAAGATTCAATATACCAGGATGGCTTCAGTATTTCATCAAAGTTTTAATGCCTTTGAGATAAATTTTACTGCGATTTCTGCAGTCTTATAATTCCTCGAAAGAAAATTTAAAACATGCTTGATCAGTTGAGCCATCAGGAAATGTGGCCGTGAGAGGTACTATCATATTAACTCTTAACTTAGCATAAATCATACAAGAAGACAAAAACAGTCTGCAACAGATTCTAAAGTCTAGATTCCACACAGACATACTTTCTGCTCCCAAGGAATACTCTTGAATCTATCTGTTTACTCTGCTAGAGATACAAAATTCAACCCTGAGGAACCTTTCACAAGCAGTCTTCCAGAATCATCATCTAGAACCTATCTCTCAGAAAGCAGTGGAATCACTGCAAAGCAGTGTCATAAGTCCCCAATTCTATGTGGTGATCCAGAAGTGTACCCTGGACAACAGTGCTGAAGAACTACTAATATGTCCGAGGAATCAATACAGTTATGTTCCTCTTATTCTTTTCTCAATGTTGTGATCATCTACCAGGATGATCAAGGCAATTTCTAACAGCAAACCCAGCTGAAAGCCAAACAGAAATGGATCAAGAGACCCTGCTTCACCCAAGAGCCATTATCTTTCCTCAGTCAGATTTAGGCCTATCATGTCAGCAGGATCCAGCAATGGCTTCTGAAAAAGGAACCTAACAGGGGCTTCATTCAAAGTGGCTGGCAGACAATGCTTTGAGATAGATACAGTCAACCTGCCATAACTAGATATGACTAGCCATGAGGGCAAGGGTCAAGACCTCTCCAAGTATTTTTTCTGCATTCTCAGATGAAACCAATTTAAATGGCTCCTAGCAATAGTGACCAACCACCACCAAAGGGACCTCAGGAGCAGAGGTAGCAAAGTGGCATTTAAGTCGGACTGGATATGTGAGCTGTTATATCTACAAAATGCCTTGCAATAGAATCCATGCATCCAAATTGTTTTTGTTACAACAGAATTTCCTGAATTTGCTAAAGTTACATTCAAGGTTCAATTTCTCACTCTGAAACAACCAGTTATCATGAATGTAGCCTTAGTCTAGATTAATTACTGGTCCGGCAAAGAATTAAGGTAAAACAGGCATCATGCTCAGCCAAGAAATGCAAGCTTGCTATTTGGCCTCTTTTTCCCCTCTATTTCATATTCATTCCGATGGCTCTTGGTAGACTGGTACATCAGTCCTTTCTTCAGTCAGCTGGATACTGTGTGTCTGGCTTCAGTGAGCCAGACAAAGAAGCACAGTGGGAAAGCTACATGTGGAGAATACTGACCTAGCAAGTAGCTATTTGTGTTTCACGGGAAAGAAAGAACTTGTATACACCTTTAAGTAATCTCCAATATACAACAAATCTTAAGTATTTTATACAGTTTATCTGAGACATGCCCTGACCTGGATAGCCCAGCCTAGCCCGATCTCATCAGATCTTGGAAGCTAAGCACAGTTGGCCCTGGTCAGTATTTGAAAGGGAGACCTCCAAGGAATGCGCAGAACCAGGCAATGGCAAACCACCTCTGAACGTCTCTTGCCTTGAAAACCCCATGGGGTTGCCATGAGTCAGCTGTGACTCGATGGCAAAACAGCAACAAATCTGAGACATGATAGTCTATCTTAACATGTTATTTGCTCTAGTCAAAGCACAACATTAAAAGGATTTTCATGTTTAGCAAATATATTAACTGTCAAAGGACATTAAGGCCAAGGCCCTGGTTAAGGGTGATGGATGGGGCAAGACAAACAGACAAAAGGGCTGAGGTATGAATCCTCACACCCCCAGGGTATCACTGCCACTAGTCCCCTTAACTACCCAGACAGCCAGAGACTCTCTGAGGGGCGGTTCCCGGGGGCACTCAAGGAAGCGATGGTCCACCCCCTCTTGAAAAAACCATCACTGGATCCTGCCGAATTGGCCAGCTATCGGCCGGTTTCCAATTTGCCCTATCTGGGCAAATTAATGGAGAGAGTGATGGCGATATAGTTACAGGGCTTCCTGGATGACGCTTCCACCTTAGACCCCTTCCAGTCTGGCTTTCGCCCAGGGCATGAGACGGAGACAGTGCTGGTGGCCCTTACCGACGACCTCTGGAGGCATCTGGATCGAGGCGGTGTGGCAGCGCTGCTGTTATTAGATCTGTCGTCCGCATTTGATACGGTCGACCATCAGCTGCTGACCCGTCGCCTCGCCGACGCGGGGATACAGGGGCTTGCCCTTCAGTTGTTTGCCTCTTTTCTCCAGGGTCGGGGACAGAGGGTGGCACTAGGGGAACAGCAGTTCCGGAGGCATCCGCTTGAATGCGGCGTGCCTCAGGGGGTGTGCTCTCCCCAATGTTGTTTAACATCTATATGCACCCCCTTGCCCAGATTGCTTGGAGGTATGGGCTGGGGTGTCATCAATACGCAGATGACACCCAGCTCTATCTGATGTTGGGCGGCCGGTCGGACTCCAGTCCAGAAGACCTGAACCGGGCATTGCAAGCCGTGGCTGGTTGGTTTAGACTGAGCCGGCTGAAACTAAACCCAGAGAAGACGGAGGTCCTGTGCCTGAGTCGGGGTGGTCTGGGGACGGGGTTCCCTCTCCTGATCTTCAATGGGGCACCTTTGGTGCCAGCGCCGGAAGTTAGGAGCTTGGGAGTGCTCCTGGATTCCTCCCTAACGATTAAGGCCCAGGTAGCAGCCGCTGCCGGTTCGGCCTTTTACCACCTTCAGTTGATTCGGCAGTTGGTACTCTTCCTCAACCGTGACAACCTGGCTACAGTGATCCATGCGATGGTCACCTCGAGATTAGACTACTGTAACACTTTCTACATGGGGCTGCCTTTGTCGCAAATTCGGAAGCTGCAGTTAGTGCAGAATGCTGTGGCCAGGCTTCTGATGGGTCTCCCTAGATGGGAACACATCCGGCCTGTGCTGAAAGTGCTGCACTGGCTGCCAATAGCTTTCCGAATCCGCTTCAAGGTGCTGGTACTTACCTTTAAAGCCCTATATGGCCAGGGTCCGACGTGCCTAAGGGACTGCCTTTCCCCACACATACCCCAGAGAGCACTACGGTTGGGGGCCCAACATTGCTTAACTGATCCCGGGCCCCAGGGAGGCCAGGCTTGTGGCAACCAGGGCCAGGGCCTTTCCAGTGGCGGCTCCTACCTGGTGGAATGAGCTCCCGGAGGAGATCAGGGCCCTGCGGGACCTCTCACAGTTCCGCAGGGCCTGCAAGACAGAGCTCTTCCATCAGGCTTTTAATTAGAAGCCGCCACTACCACCGCCACCAACTATCTTGTGGTAACAACGGGGTAATGGGATGGCCCATTATAAAGCTCTGGCCACAGTACTGCGATGGATCGGTACCACTGAAGTGGGCCCTTGGGTAACATCTATAGGCCATCATCTTATTCAATTGAATGGGTAAAACCATTGAGCACTTTATTACTGTTAAATATGGTTGTTTTATTCTGTTTTTAATGTTTTATATTTGGCACATGGTGCCCCTGTTTGTGAGCCGCCCTGAGCCCGTTCGCCGGGAGGGTGGGATAGAAATGCAATAATAAAATAAATAAAATAAAACTAAGGGACCAAGCTTCTAGCCCTCCCTGGTCCAAGAACAAAAGGTCAACCTTGCTAGGTTGCACATCCAAGATGAGTTCCAGAAAATAGTTACTTTAGTAGCTGTAACCAATGGGGGTAAAGTAGTAGATACAGACTGAAGACCCAGAGTTCAAGAACACCACAAAGTATAATTAAAGTGATTTATTAAAAGACTGTGCAAGAATATACAATAAAAGAGCAGTGAATGGTAAGAACAAAAGAAAGCTAAATAACTAATCTAAGGACTTTTACAAGCATTTGATCCCATTCCAGATGTTACCTTGACAAGACTGCATCCAAGACAGTTACAAAACCCAAGTGAAAAAGGTGTCCACCCAACCTTGCCTACCAGAATCAAGGTGTCCCAAAGCTAGCTGTGATTCAGACAGTGGGCAAGATTTTTCCTTTATGCCTCATGACCTGCATTGGCATGAACTACGGCCAATGATGTAACTGGACCAACCATTGGCTTTGAAACTGCTAGGCCCCATGATCTGGCACCTGTGAAA